AAAAAAAAAAAACTATAAACAAGAGCACAGAAATCAGATTTCACAATATTCCAGAAGAATTGGAAAAGGGGGATGTCATACCATCTAAGCCTGGGGCTTTATTAGAATCAATACTGAAGATGGCCTCCTTTATTTCATCCTCGTACACAGCAGCCACTAGCTCTGAATACAGTTCTGAGGTGATGGTTTCAGGAATTTCTTTAAGAAGCTCAACACCATTCTGTACTCCCTGAGAGGTGAAGAGTGTAGAGTTAAAATCTTTTATGCATTCTACAATCTCCTCCTTGGTTTGGCACACCTTTTGATTTTCTACCACCAGTCTTGAGACATTATTCTGCTTTTTTCTTTCCTTAGATGGCAGCATGGAAAAACTAGTATTCTTAATCCTGTTTCTTAACCATTGACCCTTGCCTTTTGTCTCCAAAATTGCTCCCCTTCTCATATGCTTTGTTCACTTGCCTTTTTGAGTTATCCCAAAGCTCCCAATTTCTCTCATTTCCTTGAGCATTCAATTCCTCCATCTTTCTATTCAGCTCCTCAATTTTTAAAGCATTTTCAGCTTTGAAGGTTCTACTCCATTTCAGCAACTCAACTCTAGTTTCCTTGGATTTTTGCCTAGAAATTGAACATTGGTGTTCCTCCATGTGGTCTATTCCAAGCAGAAGCAATAACCTCCTTAATTTCCTCCTTGGCCGACCATCTCCTATCTAAGTAGAATCTTCTCTTCGGTTGCTTACTTTGTGGTTGAATTGTAAGGAGCAACAGGTCATGGTCTGATGAGCTTATGTGAATATTTGCCACCTCAGCTGTGGGATAAAGGTTGTTCCAGCTTAGAGTAGTAAACACCCTATCAAGTTTTTCTTGGACAAAACCTTCTCCCTCCCTTCTATTCCCCAGGAGAAATTATGCCCCTTCATTCCCAGCTCCATCATTCGCATTTTTGCAATAAACTCCATAAACGCTTGAAAGGAAGCTTCGATTCTTCTCCTACCACCTTGCTTTTCAGAGTTATCAACCAAATCATTCCAATCCTCTCCCATAAAACAATTATCCCCCCAATTACTTTTTTCAGAACACAAAAATACCCATTGAAGCTTTCTTATAGAAAGATCGGCACTAATGTACACAAACATTCCCCACATAATAGACTGACTTGCATTGTCCCAATAATGAACTTGGAAACAAAATGACTCCTTAACTATACTAATAATATGTACAGATTGATCCCAACCCAAAAGAAGGCCCCCGTTTTTTCCCAGAGGGTCCACAAATGGCCACCTATCACCTAAACCTGAACTTTTGTAGACAATATTTACAAATTTTTATCTTCTTCTTTTTCTTCTTCTTCTTTTTTTTTTTTATTTTATTTTATTTTATTTTATTTTTTGTTTATGAAAGGAAAATGAAAGCTGGGTGGTAGAGTCTACACACCTCCTTGATTTGGGAAAATGTAGAGGGCCCACCTAAACCTCCACAATTCCACACCACTGCCTTCATTGGGATTGTTTGGGGCCAATTTGGGTTGGCCTCCTTCACCCCTCCACACTCCATTTTCTGTTACTTGACATTCTCCGAATTCATCTCAAGTCTTGTTTCTGAATCAATTTGTTGATCCAATTGGTTGTTCTGTTTTCTTTTCCCACCTTGCATTAGTTGCTGCAATACGTTGCGCTTCTACACTTTGTTTCTTGTAGGTTCTTCTTTTTCATCCCCTTCTATTGCTTGTTGTTTCTTCCACATCTTTGGGTTTATCATTGAGTTCTTCAACATCCTTCATACATTGGTCTGTCTCTTTGGCTGCTTCAACCACTTGCTGAGACTTTCAGACCCAGCTCATGAAGAATTTGTTTGGTAAGGTTTAAATTTGTTATTTCACATGGAGGTGGGTTTAGTATTTTTTGGATGAATTTGTTTGGGTTTCTTATGCACTTCCCTGCCAAGTTTCCCCGGGGGATAGAAAGAAACATCTTTCACCTTGTCGAAAGCTCTTCCTATTTTTAATCCAACTTCAACAGTAACCCAGTTTATAGGAACATTCCAAGCTTTTACCCAAATATCCAATAATTTAAAACTTTGATGGTTTGGACCTATTCTCTCCTCTCAGTCTCCGAAGATTATGAATTGATTATCAAAAGTCGAATTTGTATCTTTTGCTACTTTGATTTTGTCTGTCAGCTCATTGAATACAAACGACTCAAAAAATATTAGTAAAATCTCCAGTTTGCAGTATTTTTTGCACTGCAAACATGGATATTCTGTATTTGGACCAAATAGATGAAATGAAACATTATTTATCAACTTATCATAGTTTTCAAGAGTGGACTAAAAAAAATCTCAATGATTCCATTCCGTGATCCTCGCAGTGTGTCAAATGAGAAATTATCAAGCACAATATGTTGCCCACCCATCACCATTCTACCAACCAAATAGTTGTTACATATTAATAATAATAATAATAATAATAATAATAATAATAATAATAATAATAATAATAATAATAATAATAATAATAATAATTAAACTGACCTAGAGCATGTACTCAAGAATAGTTGCTTACTTGCTTACCAAACAAAATTTAAACATTGAAGCTAACTTAATGAGACAAAATTTAAACATTGAACCACAAAAAAGTGCAAACATAGGACATTTCAAGAACATGTTTTGTTTTGTCAGATATGTTTATGAATTAAAGGCATAATACTTTACTTATTTTCAGGTACTCTGCAGACCAAAACAGCTGAAACTCACTCAAAACCTTAAAAAACCAACATAACGGAAAAGAACGTTAAAACAGTACTAAATAAAAAAAACTGAGCCACCACCACAACACAATTCAGTTTCACAGAGTTTCTGTACCTCCAAAAATCATCCTCTAGAAAAAAGCCCTGCTACCATAAAACACCCTTGAATTACTCTCCTTTTTCTCGTTCTCCTCCATCTCAATTTTCTTATCAGCATCCGCCCGAATCAAATCTCCCGAGCCACCGGTTTTGGGCTTGTCCAAATCCATCGGGAGCTTCATTTTCGCCAGGGACTCTGTAAACTGCTGCATGCTCCTCATGTACATATCCACTATCTGTTTCTGCATAACAGACTCTTCGGCCTCACACGTCACATTCCGCACAAGCGCTGCCCGATTCGTGTCACTTCCCTCTTCTTTCCTGCACAAACCTGGCCCGTTTTCTTCCCGGGCCTCGGCCTTCTTCGAGGTGGACAATTCACTTTCATCAGGAGACGTCGATAAATCCGCAAAGAACCCGCCTTTTTTCTCCATGGAGTCGGCCGAGGCCCGGTCATCGCTCAAGCTCGTCATGGTCGAGCTCAGAAAGCCCGAGTTCTGCACGCTCCCATCCGGTGACACCGACCCGGCCCGAAACTCATGCAATGAATTATTATTAGCCATTTCATGGTCCGGGTCAGGCATTGAACCGAGATGGAGAAATGACCCGTCGGGCCTATCGAGCCACGGCCTCACAACGAGGGCACGCCCGTTTTTTTCAAAGTACTCGGAGACCATCTGCTCGTTCTCGTTCACCACGTTCATGTCAGGAAACTCGATTCTCGAATACTCTTCCGGGATTCTTTTATCCGTCAAGAGTTCGGAAGTCGTCGGACAAGAGTCGACTACTAATTCGGAAAAGAAAACATCTCGGGGGCTCGTGAGGAGGGAACTCTTCTCATCCAAAGTGAGCGACAATTTGATGGTTCCAGCTGGCGAGTGGAAGAGGTCGGTGGACGAGAGATCGAAATCTTGCATCACTTTACCCTTCCCAGAAAGTGAAGAAATAGGGACCAGAGCGAAACCGAGAAGCTGATCATCCATGAAGTTTTTCACCCGGCTGAGCATCCATATCTCGCATTTCAAGACAGCGCCCGGCTGGTGGATTTTGATGATGAGCCGTTCGTTGAAATCTGGGTTTTTGCCTCCGCCATTGATGATTCTTGTCGAGAGAGTCTCGTCTGGGTTGTACGTTAGGGAGAACTTGGCGTACACGTCCTGGTTGTCATATATACATATGTTGTGGATGTTTCTTGCGTGGTGGACATGGATGTCGAGGATGGCCGAGAAGGATTGCTCGGGTTCTTGATTCGGGCCAGGGTTGTATGTGAAGCTGGCGGCCTTGGTGAAGGAATCCATAGCCTTGTGCTGTGCTGAACCTGAGACTACAGAGATCAAAGAACAGAGTAAAAGTGAAGATCTGTGTTTGTTTGGTGGATTTAGGAAAATTCAAACAGTATCAGAAAGCAAAACATGAAACATCACTTAGAAGGGAAAAATGGGGTGGTGGTGGAATAAAGTGGGAGTTGGATATAGACTGTGTGTGTGTGTGTGTGTGTGTGTGTGAGAG